TCCTGTCAAACTCCTTTATGTCAGTGATGAATGCAAAAATAGCGATGTTAATGCATCATCAATGAATCACCAAAGACATAAATTATCTCCGTCGTATTAGACTTTAGAGAACCTATTCACGAATACAATTTTATTTTCTGAATCACTACATTATTTTTCAGGAGGTCAGAGCGATAGTATTAAACAGTGTTTCAACTCTCCTGTAGAGTGTACAGGAGTGTATTTGGAGATTCCCATCTTAATGTGATCAAAAGATGAAGGCATTGGCCTTTCCTGTTTGACAATCCCCAATGACCGCTTTTAAAGACACTGCTCGTTTATCACCAATGACCCAGTTACTACATTAATAAACTGCATTGCAGTCACGTTGTGTCTATTATTTTATAAGAACAGTATATTACTTTTGTTATAAATAATTATCTGTATAATAACATTGCTTAATTTAATTAAATTTTTATATTTTCTTATCAGTCAGCCATTAGTTTCGGGGGTTTTTGACGTTAGCCATTAGTCGTTTTGTAGATTTGGACATTATAAATAACTATTAATAGATTTTCAGTAGAAAAAATTTATATATATATATATATATAAATCATCAAAGGTACAATGTATATATATATTTATTCTGCAGTGTTAACGGCTAACTTCCTTCAATATCATATGTATAATATATATATATATATTTATATATTTATTTATTTATTTATTTATTTATTTATGGCCACTCCATTGACAACATCCGATGTGTTCTGCTAGCTAACAACTTTCCATCTCTCGACGACAGAAGACGCTCAGAGCTCAAATTTATACACAAATTCAATACTCACATTTTAGGCCTTAATCGTGACATGGGTATTCTGAGTGATTATACATTATACAATATCTCGGTTATTCCCGCCACACTTATCACTATTTTGTGTACACCATGTTATATTCCAGATTACTTTTATTTTATAATGTTATATTTTAATTTTCCCTTCTCTGCTTATGACTTCTGCATTACATTTTTGTATCTAGGCCTGCCTAGTTTACTTTTTTTATATTGTTAACGGCTTATTATTATTATTATTGTATTATTATTATTATTATTATTATTATTATTATTATTATTATTATTATTATTATTATTATTATTATTATTATATACATTTACTGTATTTATATTGTTATATTCTTATATGTATTTATTTATTTATTCTTGTATATATCTTATATTCTTGTTATTGTTATTTTATTTCATGATGTTATATTTTAATTTTCACTTCTCTGTTATTCACTTCTACATTACATTTGTATCTAGGCCTACCTAGTTTACTTTTTTTGTTTATATTGTAATGGTTTATTATTATTGTTATTATGTTATATATACATTTATTTATTTTTACATTAGGCTTATATATTATCCAATGATTTCTATTCCCAGTATATTTATCAGTATCATGGGCTATAGCTTACACTATTCGATATCACAGTACATTGTTTTTCACACTTTAGACTTATTATCTTGCTCCCAACTTATATTCGTTTCCTGAATAAAATGTTTTGTGTTCTATTGTCTAACTCAACGTTTTTGCATCATTATTTTCTGTTTTATTATTTAAACACACGTGGGCCAATATGACTATATATATATATAATATATATTTATAATATATATATTATATATATAATAAATTAAACAAACAAACAATATTATATATATATATATGCAA